TTGTAGTCAATCCTATATAATCTAATTTGAATCCGCCTTATTACCGTGACACCCTTAGGGAATTCCTATATCTATTCTGCTGAATTCTTTAATTTCTCCGTTAAAGCTAAGGCGTAGGGTCCGTTGGTTTAAGAAAGACCGTACCTAGGAGAGGAGGTTAGTAGGAAGGTCTAATCTTACTATTATTACTAGTAGTTGTTCTTAGGCAACGTGGTCGAATGCTCCTTTAACGTCTAGGAAAAGAGTAGAAGTTTTTAATTTCTGTGCTTTATTTTCTTTAACGAGATTAGTAAGAAGGAGCGCTACGTCTATTGCGGATTTCTTTAAACGCCCTCCTATTTAGGAGGGGTCTAAGAGTTTAGTTATCTTTTCCGCTAAGAAGCCTAGTCTTTTAGCAATAATACGTTCTAGGATTTTTCCTAGGTAATTAAGTAAGGAGATAACCCTATATAATTTAGGGGCTGCTTTATCTGGTCTTCCTTTACTTAAAATTACTCCCGTAGCTTGCCGCTAGTAAATAGGGTGGTACCTATATTTGAATAGCGTGCTAAATACCTTATAAAATTGTCCCGGGAGGAGGGTAGTATGCTAAATAGAATAGGTTTATAGTCGGACCTAATATCTTCTAATATTTGCTAGTCCTAGATTCTATTCGAAATACTACTACTAGCTAGGGTTAAATCAATAACTGACGCTCTATTCCCCTGGCGGAAGCGGGTAGCTTCGCCTAGGTTATTTAGGAGCGTTAGGTTATTAGATTCGATCCAGTCTAGTAGGCGGTTACCCTCCTAGGAGGTAGAGCAGCCTAGATCCTACTAGGGATGGTGGTAGTTAAAGTCCCTAGCTATTAGCGAGTTAGGATTAGGCGTAGAGTAGCCGAATACCCGCTCTATAGTATAGGGGCCTTGTGGATCCTTCTGGGGCCTTTGGTTATAGATATTAACTAGTTGGATTGAGTAGTTTGGCGAAGCTAAATCTAGAACCATTAGGTCTGTAGAAGGAAAGAGATCTTCTCTTAAGTTTATTTGCGTTTCTAGGTTATTACGCGAGAAATAAATAAGAGTTCGTGGACGTAAACCGGGAGAGTGAACCGGGAGAATTTGGCCGAAGGATAGGTGATTTATAGACCTTCTTTCTTTGGGATCTTCTAGGGAAATTAGCTATAGCTCTTAGATAAGAATTAGGCTGATTTCGTATTCTATTGTAAGTTATAGGGCAGCTTCCGTAACGTGCTGGTTCCTATTAACGTTGACTTGTAATATTCTTAGATATCCTATAAGAAAGGTTTACTGCGGGACTAGATCGTAGTTTTTATACCTCGAGCCTTGCTTAGTTTTGCAGCCAGTATAGTTATACTGGTGTTGGTCTGTTCTATACGTGCGTTTAGAATAGATATCGTATTGAGGTTGTCTAGTATACCTAGACGTCTCGTGTCCCTTTTTATTGTAGTTTCTGTAGAGTTGGTCTCTCGGTATAGAGAGGAGGTTTTCGACTCTGTAGCTAACTCCTGCTATATATAGGCGCTGGGAGATAGCTAGTCTGCGGTCTTTTTCGGTGCGGAAGGCTACCGTAACCGATCCTACGAGCTGGTTTTCTCTCTTCTGTTTAGAGGTTAGCTAGTAGGGTTTACCTACTGTTTAAAGTCCGTTCGAGAAGGTGGAGATCTTAGTCTTTATAAAGTCTGAGATATCGAGATCGTTTAGTTCCTGGGTGGGAACGCCGTGGATCGCCGCTTTATACTAGGTTTCGTTTGTTTTAGCCTGGCATTGCGGGAAGATTTTCCGGATTATATTAATCTTATCTAGTAGAAAAGATGTAGGGAATCCGTGGTTTCCCGTTATAATAATATTGTTGTTTTGGGAGAGTCTAATGCCTGAGATGACGGTTTTTCCCCGGTATCCCGCTGTTTCGAAGGCTTTGTTAAGTCGTGTTCTAGCGTCGAGTGGGCTAAAGGACTTATCTAGTCCTGGGTTAGGGAATAAGATTTGGTGCTCCTTAAGCGTAGGCTTAGGAGTAGGCGGGAGGGTAGCTCCGGGTTTCCTTTTATTAGTAATAAGATTGAATCCGGTTTGGTCTGGGGGAAGGTTGTTGGTAGCTGTAGAAGCGTAGCTCTGGGGGTTTCTCTAGGGGTTTTGGCTAGGTAGGGCCGGGGAGATTAAGGGAAGGGGTGTTCCTAGTTTTCGCACGTTTGTCTAGAGTACTCTAGAGGTGTTCTCTAGGGCTTTTACTTGCGTAGCAAGGATAGACTTAGAGTAGTCTATTTTTCCAGTCTTTGTAAAGTCTCTAAAGATAGAGAGAAGGTCGAGGAGACTCTCTGTCTT